ACGGGTGAGAGACCCCCGCGCTGCCCCTCCCCCCCTTCCCCATCCCCGTGCCCCCATGCCACCCCTCCCCCATCACCCATCCTCCCGCGGCCTCCCCTTCCCGCCATCCAGGGCCTGGGCCCCCCCTCGAGTCCCAAACCCGGAGACAGACTCATTCCCAGCAGCCCCCCGCTGTCCCTTCTCTGGCCGTTGTCGCTTTCCTGGGCCAGCCGCCCCCCTGGGCTGCGCCGACCCCCCCGGCTGCTCCTTGCCCACCTCAGGTGACAGCGTTGGCCGCTCTGTGCCCAGGCAGCCTCTAGGGGTCGCTGTGACGCCCACGCGCCTCCGCCCCGTCACGCTGCGGCCTCTGGCGGGACCCCACTGAAAGCGTCAATTCAGAACAAATCACTCAGAGCCGGGCAGTCACCGCCCAAGGCTGGGGGTCCTTTGCACACCAAACCAGCCAGACAGAGAGGACTTTGGACTCACCCCACTGGCTAACCACACCAGCAATTCCCTTAGACACTCCAGTTTCCCAGTATCACCACCAGTGCCACTTGTTATGGGGATGAATGGTTATGAAAACCAATACCCCAGTAAAAGAAAAGAGGTTCTCCTGATCCCAAAGGACCAAGCCCCAGACCCAGGTCAATATACAAATCAGATCTTACCCACAAATCACGCTGTTGCCAATCCTTTAGAATCTAAAATTTAAAGGTTTATTGATAAAAGGAAAAAGATAGAGATGAGAGTTAGGATTGGTTAAATGGAATCAATTCCATACACTCATGGCAGAGTTCTTGGTTCAGGCTTGCAGCAGCGATAGAATAAACTGCAGGTTCAAATCAAGTCTCTGGACCATCCCCAGCTGGGATGGGTCCTCAGTCCTTTGTTCAGAGCTTCAGTTTGTAGCAAAGTCCCTCCAGAGGTCAGAAGCAGGATTGAAGACAAAATGGAGAAGATGCCGCAGCGTTTGACAGGTGTCAGAGTAGCAGCCGTGTTAGTCTGTATCCGCAGAAAGAACAGGCGTCCGTGTGGCACCGGACAGTTATTTGAGCACAAGCTTTCGTGGGCTACAGTAGTAGCAGTAGTGGGTTGTAGCCCACGACAGCTTATGCTCAAATAACTGTGTTAGTCTCTAAGGTGCCACCCGGACTCCTGTTCTTTTAGCAGCTTTTTCCAGTGTCTTGTCACGTGGCCTTTCTTTCCTTCTTCCAAAGACGCCTATTCCAGCCCATGGCCTGGAGATTGGTCCCTAGGCCTGGCCCTGCCTTGCTGAGCCCTGGTCTACACTGGGGGGGGTCGACCTAAGATATGTCGACTTCAGCTCCGCGAATAGCGTCGCTGGAGTCGGCGTATCTCAGGTCGATTTACCCGGCCGTGAGGATGGCAGCGAGTCGACCGCTGCCGCTCGCCCATCGACTCCGCTTCCGCCTCTCACCGCAGCGCAGTTCCGGAGTCGACGGGGAGCGATCAGGGATCGATTTATCACGTCTACACCACACGCAATAAACCCCGATAGATCGATCGATCGCTACCTGCTGATCCAGCGCGTAGTGTAGACGTGCCCTGAGTCACCAGGTGTATCTGCTTCTCTCAGTGGGTCAGTTGTAGCTTGTCACGGAGTATGGGGGGACTCAGGGCCCTGCACCCCCGGCGTCCTGCGATTCACCATGACTCTCAGCCAGCCAGTAAAGCAGAAGGTTTATTTAGATGACAGGAATACAGTCCAAGACAGGCCTTGCAGGCACAGACAACAGGATACCCCACAGTTAGGTCCATCTTGGGGTCCTTGGGCACCCCAGCCCACCTCCTGGGGTCAGAGCCCTCCCTGCCTTCCAGCCACCTCACCAGCCAGCTCCCCAGACTCTGCCTTCAGCGACCCCACCCACAGCCTTTGTTCAGTCTCCCGGGCAAAGGTGTCACCTGGTCCCAGCCCCTCCTGGGTTCTCATGTTACAGGCTCAGGTATTTTCAGTCAGTCTCCCATCCCCCAAGGCCGACCATCCCAGCCACACTCCCCTGTCAGCATTCACAGACCACAGTAAGAACAGACCCAGTTCGTCACATAGCTGATGGGCCTTAATGGGCCACCAAGCAGGCTAGGCAGAGCTAACACCAGCTTGTCTGGGGTCTTCCCCAGAAGCATAGCATAAGTGTGAAATACAGACAGGATAGAGCCAATATTCATAACTTCAACTACAAAATTGATACACACATACAGACGGCATAATCACAACCAGCAAACCATAACCTTGTCTTAGACACCCCATTTGACCCCCTTTATACAAGATTTGGTGCCACTACAGGACCTTGGTTGCAACAATGATCTATACGGTCCCAGTTTGTGACAATAACATCACAGCCACCAACTAGACACCTGAGTAACTCAGAGGGGAAACTGAGGCACACACACAGGGTTCAGAGAAAACATTAAGAACAGAACCACTTTGTCACTGCCCTGATGCCCCTCCCCACATCCCGACCCCACTGCATTCCCCATCCCTGTCCTCACCCCAACACCACCTCCCCCGGCCTTGGCGCGGGGTCCGTGGGTCGCTGGGGCTCTGGCTCTCCCCGGCGCGGGGTCTGTGGGTCGCTGGGGCTCTGTGTCGCTCTCCCCGGCGCGGGGTCCGTGGGTCGCTGGGGCTCTGGCTCTGCCCGGCGCGGGGTCTGTGGGTCGCTGACGCTGTCTCTCCCCCCGCCATGGGGCAGCCGATGTGCCCGTGGACACGTTGGAGAAGTCGCTCTCGCCCGCCGGGCTGGTGGGGCTCCTGCGGGTGCCGCGGGGCTGCGCGGAGCAGACGATGATCTACATGGCGCCCGGGCTCTACGCCATGCACTACCTGGACGAGACGGAGCAGTGGACCCAGCTCAAACCCGAGCGCAAGCAGGAGGGGCTGGAGCACCTGCGCGTGGGTGAGCGCCCCAGGCACCGGTGCGGGCGGGGGTGGGGGTGAGGGGGGGCCGGGCACCGGGGCGGGCGAGGGTGGGGGTGAGGGGGGCTGAGTACCGGGGCGGGCGGGGGCCGGGGATGAGGGGGGCCGGGCACTGGGGCAGGCGAGGGTGGGGCTGAGAGGGGCCAGGCACCGGGGCGGGTGGGGGGCGAGAGGGCTGGGCTGGGCTGGGGCAGCTGCACCCAGGCATGGGGCGCCAGACCCCAGCTCGCATGCTGGTCCCCTGGCACGTGGGTACCTGACTCACCATGGCCACCCACTGGCCCTTGCACTTTGCACACACATGTGCAGCCCCCCTTTGCACGCCCAGCGCGGACGCTTGTCCCTCCCTCGCTTGCACCCCCCAGGAACGAGCCCCGCAAGGGGGGCAGTGGGCACAGAGGGTGGGGGTCGAACCCCCCCAATGTGACCCCCTGTTGCATCCCCTCCCCCCCCAGGCTACGAGCGTATCCTGACCTTCCGCAAGCCGGACGGGTCGTACGGCGCCTGGCTGCACCGGGCCAGCAGCACCTGGTGAGCCGGGAGCCGGGCGGGTCGGGGGGGGGTCCAGGCCCGGGAGCTCTGTGGGGGGGATGTGGAGGGGTCTAGGGCTGGGGGCTCTGTGGGGGGATCCGCTCCCCAGGGAAGGGCCGGGAGGTGTCGTGGGGGGTCTGTGAGGGGGGATCCGGGGCTGGGGGCTCTGTGGGCAGATCCGCTCCCCAGGGAAGGGCCGGGAGGCGGCTGGGGGCTCTGGGGGATCCCCTCCGAGGGCCAGGGCCGGGGTCCGTGAGTCGGCCCCCCTGACCCCGGCCCCCCCCAGGCTGACGGCGTTCGTGGTGAAGGTCCTGGCGCTCAGCCGGCAGTACCAGGCCGTTGACAATGCCGGGATTCGAGAGTCGGTGACGTGGCTGCTGGGGAACCAACAGGCCGACGGCTCCTTCCGTGACCCGCAGCCTGTCATCCACCGGGACATGCAGGTGAGATTGCACGTGCCCCTACGCCCTTGCACGCTCGCTGCTGCCTGCACCATGCCCTCACACACTCACTGCCTGCACACTCCCCTCACACACTCACTGCTGCCTGCACACGCCCCTCGCATGCTCGCTGCCTGCACACTCCCCTCGCACACTCCCTGCTGTTTGCACACTCCCCTTGCACGCTCGCTGTTGCCTGCACAATCCCCTCACACAATGACCTTGCACAAACACATTTGCACGTTCACACACACTACTGCCTCACACTCACATTCACAGCCTGGGCCTTGCACACCTGATCCCCAATTTTGCATGCTCACTTTCATCTGCACCCTCATCCTCACACCCTGCTGCCTTGCACACTTGCCATTGCCTTGCACATTCATGTGCACATTTGCATAGTCACTCCACATCACACGCTCACCCATGTTACACGCTCACCTACAGATGTTGCACAACTGCCTTCACACACTCACTGAGATGTTGCACATTTACAAATGCTCCTGCATGCACTATCCCCCTTGCACACTAGCTGGTGCATTGCACAACTTGCCCTCACATACTTGCCACGGAGTCATGCAGGTGCCCCTGCACATTCACAATGCACAGGGGCCGTGCCACATGCCACTGTGACGGTGCTGCCCGTGGGAGCCAGCTGAGGTCACTCAATCAGGGTGAACTGCAAACAGACCGGGGCAGACAAACCCC